TCTTGTCTCTTGTCCCAGCCCTGACTCCTTCCTGCCCCTCTCGCTCAGGCGGCGGCTGGGAGGCGCCAGGATGAAGCTTTACAGCCTAAGTGTCCTTTACAAAGGCGACCCCAAAGTGCACTTGCTGAAAGCCGCCTACGACCTGTCCTCATTCAGCTTCTTCCAGAAAACCAGGTGGGTCCCTGGGGTGTTGGCACCGGCCTGGGGGATTCCATCCCCTGCCTGGGACAAACAGCACAATAAGGGCGGCCTGGGCTTGGTGGGCTGGTTTGGGAGACAAGGATTCAACTCCCTGCTCTGCCACAGATTGACCCCAGGCAAGTCCCTTAGATGGATTCACAAAGGTCTTGGTTGCCTAAATCTCAGTTTTGGTTTCACTGACTGGGGACAAACAAGCAAATGAACATCTATCTTGAGTACAGGAACCAATCTAGTAAGCATACTCAGTCTGCCTATTATATTAGATCCCATTCAAAATCCCACCCACCTGAAAAGAGGAGGAGGTGATCTTCATATCACCCACCTTATACAATTGGCCCAGTGGTCAGAGCACTCACTTGAGGTTTGGGAGTCCTGATTTCAGTCCCCTCTGTCAGATGAAGAAAAGGGATTTGAACAGAGGCTTCCCTCTTCTTAGGAGGGTGCTATAATCGCTGAGCTGGGCTGCTGTGGAGCTCCCTCAGGCCTTCTGGTTGAGACAGCTGTTTTTCTGTGGCTAAATAGTGAAAGAGCGATTGGAGCAGGGGATCTGCATCCCAGATTTCTTGCCTCCCCAGTGATTATTCTAAGCACTGAGATGCGAAGAGTCTCTTTTTCTCACCCAATGGCTAATTAAGTATTTATAAGGTATTCTGGTGTACAAATACTACAGTAATGGGGCCCATAGAAGTACCTAAGATGGGTAGAATAAAGCCTCATTGAATTTTCAGTCCTGTAATACAGCTTTCCAGCATCCGAGTGACCTTTTAACTTAAATAAATAAGATAAATATTATCACAGCAAAAGGTCTGGGAATAGATCCGTGCCTGAGCTGGAACTTTTGTAAGGCTGGTGTAGTGAGTTATACAAAACAAGAGATTGTGTATTGATGTGTACTGAAATCCATACAGTAGATGATGTGAAAAGATCTGTTAGGCATGCAAGCATCTCAGCTCATGCAGAGACCTGAAAAACAAATAGGAAATGACTTGTGGGTTTTGCTTTACCAATCCAGCTAGGTTTCTGTGACAGCTGTAGTGATCCATGTATTTGTATTTAGCAATAGTATCTTCCCACTTGTGATAACATACTATGCCTGGTATGTCCCCTTTGCTTAGGGTGAGTGGTTGTGCAGAGAATGCTGCTGACAGGTCAGGCCAGAGTGTACAAAGCTAAATGCTAATCTCAGCTTCTTGTCATCCTGGTGAGTCACAGCTCTCTCAGCGCTAAGGTGTGATCTGTGCTTTCAGAAGAGTTGCCCACATAGTCCTTACATCAGTTAGCCTTGCCGCACTACGAGCACAGCCCCCTAACCATTAAGATGGGGTAATACCCATAAAGCTTTTAGAAAGAAGTAGTTGTATTAGCAAGTGCCTAACTGCAATACAACTTCCCTTCTACCCTCCTGGTTTCAAAGGCTCATGATTTTAAGAAATATTTGCCTTCTGCACTGAAATGTTCCATGCTTGCTGTGCGACCAACAGTGACTTTTAAAGCATTAGTAAATGTTCTTCTCTGTCATTCTGATGTGTGTATGAGGGAGGGGTCGGGGTCAGGGAAATACCACAATTAGAGATTTTTACTTCCTTTGCCAAGGTTACAGCAAAAATAGGTGAGTTTTGAAGCTTAGCTATTGCTTGCCACTTACACTGCTGGGGCTTTCACTTGATGGTTGATTGTCCTAGGGGACTTTTTTAAAAGATAAGCATGAAACAAACATACTTCTGTGCACCTGCTATATTTTTTACCTATGCCCATTTCCCTGTTTTGTATGAGCAGAAGGCCTGCATGTATGAGAGCTGATGCTGGGCCAGTCTGCACAAGGGGAAACTACAGTTAGCTAACTGAAATAAAGTTGTTAAAGCAATTTTACAAAAAGACTTTAACATCAGAAATGAAAGAAAATCACAGGTGCAGGAAAATGTCACAGATCGTACAATTGGTCCGTAATTATTACTGCATTCTACATCAGGCTGCTTATCAGAATTTAAAGAAAATTAGTTTCTTCTTATTTTCAAAAAATACAGTCGCCTCAGTATAAATTGATCAACACTAGTAGAATCCCCGGCAGGAAGTCATGCTTTTATCTCCCCTAGTTCTGACCTATTCAGGTAAAGAGGTGGCTCAAACTACAGGCAGTTTTCTCTTACTCATTTAATAAAACCTCAGTGGGGGAGAATGATTTCCCTACCATCATTAACTTGACTGCGTTGTATATGTATAATCTTCTATTTATTTTTCCTAGTTGGTCCCCCGTCCCACAAATTGACACGTTTAATTTTATGTGGACAAGTAGACCCTTTGAATTAGTGCATAAATGCTGGCAAGCATTATTAAGGATAACAAATCTGGCCTAAAATTTACATTTTGTCTTAAGTTTTTAGTGACTCTGAATTCTGGAAAGGTACTGGGATTTTAAAGTGGATGTTTAAATGTGTGTGTGTTGTTTTTTAAAATTCCTGGCAATCTTGTCCGATTGTCTTTCATGAGCTTGAAATGTCATAATTAAAAATGGAGAGGGCAGGTACCTCACAGGATACCTAATTGAACCTCCCCATGTGCACCTTTTTATCACATTGTAATGTAAGTATTTTTCAGAACTGATTGTCACTCGAATTTAGGTTTGTTTTGTGTAGTATTATAATCAGACTTTGGACTTATTCCTTAAAACCCCCACACTTAGGATTCCAAATTCATACTTCTACTGGCAGCCTGGATTACAAAACCTGAGACCAAAAGGACTGACTTGACAATCTTTTTTCTTTTCAAGCTCCAACAGAATACTTTCTTGAACTAATCTTCCTCTGGGGCTTTTGGAAGCCTTATGTTGTAGTACAGGCAGTCCCCGGGTTACATACAAGATAGGGACTGTAGGTTTGTTCTTAAGTTGAATTTGTATGTAAGTTGGAACTGGTACATATTATGGGGGGGGACGGGGAGCTGGAGTTAGGTGGAAAAGACCCTGATTCTCATACAACTTCCTTATTCTAAGAAAAACACATACTGTTTTGATATGAAGGTTTTTTTGGTTGATATTTTAATTTAAAAATTGATCATAAGTTTCAGTGTTTCGTGCTATATCCAAATCTTCCTTTTGGGGTACCTGAAAGATCCCAGTTATTCATTTAATAGTCAGAATCTTTGTTTTTATAACTAAAAAAAGTTTATTCAATGCATATTACTGTTCCAAATAGAATTTGCTACAGATGGTTCAGTGAAATGGGTATTAAGTGTAATCAATAGTCATTGGAGAGCACAGTGAAATATTGATACAATCAAAGCTGTTGTTGTATTCTGCTGAGCAGAAAATGGAAATCCCTTCCTGTGAAGTGTGTGTGTGAATTTATCCACAGGATTAATTTTAAAGAAAAATTCTGTGTTGAACAGGAGTTTAGCCACAGGTGGGTCCTCATTGTCCACTCACCAGACCCATCTCCTCGGGGCTTACCCTGCTCCGCTCCAGCCAGGGTGTG